AGTGAGATGAGTGGTCACTGTTTACCCAGTCTGTAACAAAGTAACAATGGACGTCAGCATGAACTTGTGACTGAAGCGTTGCTTGTTCCCCGAGTGGTGGTACGGGTGTTTCACTTGGTCGTCCTAGTCTGACACATTTCGTTTTATTGTCACCCGTGCACAAAAGCAGCAACAAAAGAAAAGAAAACCCAGCGAAAACAACAACAACGAAGCAACTACCTTCGGTTGGGACCTCAGAAAGGAAGGGTTTGTTTTCTCAGAAAGGATGGGTTTGTTTTCTCAGAAAGGAATGGTTTGTTTTCTTCATCTCGATCAGTCCTGCCTAAGACGGCCACCTGTCTTATACGGCCACTTTTCTCCTTGACAATGGGTGGCCGTCTTACACAGGTTCGACTGTACTAGCCAGAAAGCTTATACTTGTTATACATTTAGTTGTCCTTACCCCAAGCCTGCCGGAACCGAGAATCCAACCGTGGCTTTGGTATGAACAGCAAGTACCTTAGCTCGTTTTTTTGTTTTGTTGTTGTTGTTGTTGTTTTTTTTTTGTTTTTTTTTGGGGGGGGGGTGTCGTGTCCGTAATCTATTAGGTGACTTACATCAGTAAACTAATCTGGTCGTCAATTCAAAACAAGGGATCCTATTTTGATAGTTCGTCATCTAGTGAATGAACTCCCAACAAAAGAAACATGAATGTAATTTGATGTCATTTATACTAAATTATAGTCATTACATTAGAAAAGAATGTGCCCCATCTGCTGCCAGCGTTTCACCAGCACAGTATCTGACCGCCAGCCACTGGGAGCAGCTTGAAGGAGATAATTTTAAAAGTAAAATTTAATGTATATAGTTTTTAATTAGAAAGGAAATTGGCTTGCCTATTTTGTGGGAATAAAAATTAAGACTTCCAACAAACGTTAAAACCACCTTACAGAAAGTTTTAGTTTTAGTCTAGTAGAGGTTTTACGGCGCTCGCAACTGCATCAGGTCATATGAGCGCCAAAAGATAAGAGGTGTTTACAAGAGAGTAACAAACATAAAAAAGAAGAAGGGGAGAAGGACGATAGATGTTTCATAGGAAAGAAGAAGCAAACCACATCAGAGCCAACCACCCACCCTTACAGAAAAAAAAAGGGACCCACAAAACAAACAAAGACGTAAAGGAAGCAGAAAAAGGTTTTACGATTGCAAACTCACCAAAATGAGATCAAAGCGCCATAAAATGTATAAATAGAGTCCTTGGAGACGGAGCAACAGTTTTCCAACATTGTTTTTGCTTTGCAAGACAACCACAAGGGTCAAAACAGAAGTCAGACAAAGCCTACGTAATGATGAGTAATATCATGTTTTGCCAAGACAAAATGAAAGAAAGGGGTAGCCTTGGGTAGGCACGCGGTAGGCCTAGATTTCTAGATGTAATATCTAGAGATCTAGATCTAAATGGGCCATCAAGGGTCAGCCTTGCCAAAACTGGCACAATTAACAAGTGGTCTGTAATCAAAGCTAGCCTGTCCTCAGAGAAAGTTGCATTTGAAAACAGCAAAAGTTGCAAGACGTGTAAAGCTAAAAAAAATGTCATGCAATCAAAGTAACCAGCATGAGTTTTGTTAGATCAAAATCAAAAGTATGTGAATGTCTACCAAAAAAAAAAAAAAAAAGTTTGTCCCCTGACACGTGCGTCAGGTCCTTACACTCACGCTGACGTTGGGCAGGTGTGAGCAGGTGTGACCAGCATGGTTTGGGGCTGTTCAAATATATAAACTTACACCTTTTTGGGGGCTTTTTGCCCCCCCCCCCCTTTACACTTTTCTTACAAATCCCGTAATATTACATTATTCGCTATAATATATATGGCATTTATGTTGCGCAAATCCCTGTTACAATCACTCTTCTATGCGCTTTACTTTTACATAATATAATAATAGTATTCATGAAAAACATGCATAAACCAAAGATAGAGGTACACATGTGACATAATAATAAATACGGAACAAGCGGAACTTTTCTGGAAAAACTTCCGGTGTCATTTTACCATTTTAACCGCACCGGTGTAATCAAAATTAGACTAGAGAAAATCTAGATGTACATGTCATATAGCCTAGATACGACCTGTGTATAAAGTGCGAGATATCATGCTTGGCGCTCGAGGACCTACTGTATCGCCACTATGCCGTGCTTACCGCTCTAAAAAGTACTCTTTTTTATGTTATTCAAAAATTATGTTGTCATAAATTATTTTCCTTGCTATTTTTTTCACCTTACAAAAGTGTAATCTCACATTGGTTCAAGACCCCCCCCCCCCTTTTCTGGTGTAAGATGATTGTATTTGAACGTCCCCTCTATAGATGTTTTCTGGATGAAACGATTTTTCAATGTCTAGATCTACCCTTCTAGCCTAAGATTTAAAGTTAAAGACTTCCATAAATTTTTATACTAGATATTATAGATCTATCTACCTGGCAAGCTAAGTAATCAGACGATCGTATTTGCGATTGATTTGATCTAGATCTAGATTCTAGCTAGAAGATGATTCAGTCCAAACAAGACTATTGGGGGGTCGGGTCGGATCCGTTTGCTCGCCAGATTGATGGCGCAAAGCGACTATCGTGGTAGGGCCTACAAAAAAGTCGTGGTACAAAAAAAGTACAAACAGTTTTTAGGCGACGAGTCGGGCGATCATCCCGACCCGACCTGACCCGTCCCGAACCCATCCGCAATGGGCACAAGTCGGGGATCCCATAGATCTAGTGCAAAGGAGTGAATTGTTCCCCTTGGCGTCGTTATTTTTAGTCGTGGAAGAAAATTTCGGTGTTTTTAACTAAATTTTATTATTATTTTTCCCTCTCTTGAGGCCAAAACCGGCGAATAACAATTGCGGGGTGGGAACTAGACGAAAAAGCGCCAAAAGTTGCGCGCGCGAATTTCTCTGAGGACAGGCTAGCACTAGATCTATACTATACTACATCCAAGAATATAAGTACAATACAATAAGGTTTAGACATAAAGCCAACGAACACTAAGGCTTGACTTCATCACTGTTGCGACTTGGGACAACCCTGACTGACCAGGCCCCAGGATCATCAGGCCTGGCAGGGTCACAGCGATTCCGAGAGAGAACTTTACGCAACTTCCACTTTGCGAAAAGATAGATCTCTAGAATCTAGCAACAATACAATCTATCATGTCTGCGTACCCACACAACGTATACTCACAGGCTAAACATTTTGCAAGCGAAAAAGACCTTTTCTGCGGTGTGACTTTCTGACAATTTCGTGACAAGAAAACGAGCTTGTTTCCCTCTCTCAGAAGTCGCCTTGCCACGCACGTCGCCATATTGCTGTATTATCGACCTTGAACTCGTCTGACCCCCAGTGTCACTTGAACAGATCAGCTGTGACCGCTGCTGGAGGGAGGGAGGAATTCTCTCGCACTGGTCTCTGTATTTATAGGCTAGGCTACTCTCCCAGGTCGTACACGATGGTATTATGTAGTTCCGGTTCACAATGGGAAAAAAACAACAAACATTTGATTCAGTTTCAGTTAGAGGTGTGCGAGTCCAGCATATTAAGATTCGAGTCCACACTCGAGTATCTGCTCTGGACTCGAGTAATTACTCGAGT